AATGGCCAAACAGTGTGTGATATCCTGGTTTTCTTGGCTGAGTAATGAAAAAGAGATTTGATTATGCTAATAAGCTGACCTACAACCTGCAGTATTTTTCACAGAAGGACTTATTCACTCTATTCTAGCTTCACTCTTGTCAGAACTTCAAATATGGCGTTGGGTGATTCAAAAGCTGCCACAGGAGCCAAAACAATATGAAAAAACGCAGAGGAGAACCAGCTTAGAAAGAAACCCCTTCAACAACTTTGAGTTCAGTTGGTTGAGGAATAGAAAGGTACACTGAGGTTGACTTGAAACTGTCAAGAATGATGGGGAAGCTAATCAGCAAAGGAAAAGCATCTATGTCAGTAGTTCTCAACCTTCCTACAGTTCCTTATGTTGTGGTGAGCCCCAACCATAAAATTATTTTTGTTGATACTTCATAACTGTAATTTTGCTACTGTCATAAACTGTAATGTAAATACCTGATATGTGTTTTCATTTACTGGACCAAATTTAGCACAAATACCCACTGTGCTCAAATTTAAATACTGGTAGGGTGGGGTGGGGGTTGATTTTGTCATTTGGGAGTTGTAGTTGCTGGGTTTTATAGTTCACCTACATTCAAAGAGCATTCTGAACTCCACCAGCAATGGAATTGAACCAATCTTGGCATACAGAACTCCCACAACCAACAGAAAATACTGGAAGGGTTTGTTGGGCACTGACCTCGAGTTTTGGAGTTGTAGTTCACCTACCTACAGAGAGCACTATGGACTCAAACAATGATACATATGGACCAAACTTGGCACAAATACTTAATATACCCAAATATGAATACTGGTGGAATTTGGGGGAAATAGACCTTGACATTTGGGAGTTGCAGTTGCTGGGATTTACAATTAACCTACAATCAAAGAGCACTCTGAATCCAGCCCACAATGGATCTGCACCAAACTTGGCAAACTACCTACATGACCAGCATTGAATACTGGTGGGGTGGGGGGGAGGCTGTTTTTGAATTCTGGGAGTTGTAGATCACCAAAACCAAAAAGAAAGAGAAGAACAGGTGGAGAGATCTTCAGCCATCTCTGCCAAAAGGGTTCCTAAGACCATCGGAAGCATGTGTTTTCTGATGGTCTTTAGCGACCCCTCTGAAACCCCCATTGTGACCTCCCTCCCAAGGGGACCCACCCCCAGGTTGAGAAACACTGATTTATGTGATTATGGGTTAGGGCATTCCTAAAGACCATAAGGTGAAGGAACAATTGGTTATAATGGCACCAAACAGATTTGAAGTGGGTGGGTCAAAAGCACAAAATGAGCATTAACATCTGGAGGATCACATAGTGAAAAGTGAGAGCCATGTTCTTCCTCTGTTGACTAAATTAAATACATTTAAAATTCCATCATGGTCAGAAAACAGTTAGGGTATGTTAAAAACTACTACTGAGCCTTCTTACCTGTAATCCAAACAAGGCATCTAATTTCCTCCCTTAATACACAGAATATATGGGTGTATCAATAGAGGACTGTGCGGCCCTACAAACATCCCCTTAACTCTATCCTTCCCTGTGATGGAAAAATTGGAAAGAGTAATAAAAACAGCCTAGAAAGGGTGATTTTCAATGCCATTCTGATATTTCCTTATTGGTCCACTTACCTTGCATTCAAAAGGTAAAGGTAAAGGTTTCCCCTTGACATTAAGTCTAGTCATGTTCAACTCTGAGGGGTGGTGGTCATCTCAATTGCTAAGCTAAAAAAAGGCGTTGTGCTTAGACGCCTCCAAGGTCAGGTGCCAGCATGACTGCTGGCACCTTCTTGCCGGAGTAGTACCTATTGATCTACTTACATTAGCATGTTTCGAACTGCTAGGTTGGCAGAAGCTGGGCCTAACAGTAGGAGCTCACCCCACTCCCCAGATTCAAACTGCTGACCTTTCGGTCAGCAAGTTCATCAGCTCAGCAGTTTAACCCACTGTGTCACCAGGGATTCCTTGCATTCAAAAGCAAGGCTTTGTTTCACATTTTATGGATTTTGACTTTCTCTTAATTGCCTTCTCACTTAGGTTAATAGTCACAGACATTGTAATACATTTTCATGCTTTATTTATAAGTAAGTGGGCCAACTTACATGGGCCAGGACTGTCAGCTAACAAGCCTTCCGCCTAGTGAAAGATTTTTATCATGTCTCAACTGAGAAGAAAATAATAGCACATCAACAGGTAGCATTTTTACTATTGAACCTGCATGAATTCTAGTGGGAAAATGTTGCAGAAAAGACAATTAACAAGGCAAAAATGCCCTTTGGCAGAACTTGGAATTGCTGCAGCCACATGGCAAAGTGTCCAAAAATTTGTTTCTCCAAGCTCTGCCCTTAGGCATCTAGAGCTTTGGGGAAAATGTACCTTTATGTATTATCGTTCCCCTGAAACAATTTCAATTTTTTTCATTCATGACACTGGTTGAAAGTTTTCCTTTGCCAACTACCCTGAAGCAGATGCCTTAACAGACATACAGCTGAGTCCTCTGGATTCTTACTCAGAAGTAAGCATTGCAGAACTGAAGGGGCTGCCGCCTGAGGCTATTTACACTCCTGATAACCATTTTTGCTTAGATCAGTCATAATGCATACAGGAACACCTACACTAGCCAGTATTAATAGTTAAACTCACCATCTGTGATCATCATGGACAATTCAGCAGACAGGTGCGGCAAAACATTACTGCATTGGGCTTTCAGGATCTCAAGTGGAAGTTCTGAGAACCATCTTTCCTAGATACCTATAAGGAATGCGACTTTGAAATAATAGCCATTTACGATGTACAGGCAGATGTCTGAAGGAGCCCCAGCTTTCGTCTGTGAGCCGCTGCTACCCATCATCAATTTACAATTATTCTCTGCTTCTTCAAGATTAATAGCTGCTTGGTATGCTCAGAGCTGTGTGTGCTATTTGGGTTTCTGATCGCTCTATACAGGCACAGAATGTTGTACCTGGATCAGAATTCAGCATTCTGAGCATGCTGTTGTTCACATTTGCTTCCTTTTTACATAGACCAAGCAACCTGGAAAGGGGATAAAGCTGGTGGGATACATTCTCAGACTAGATAGCATTGCGTCAACTCTGGGGCAGCATTCAAACTACCCTAAAGTGCACATTGCCACCAACCTGGAAGCTTAATTACAGTTGTTCTTCATTCTTCTCCTCCCTCCCTCCAGTCCACTCCTCACCAAAGCCTGTAAATGCCAGGTAACCTGTATTTCTTCAAGTGGTGATCTGTGAATGGGGTTTACTGTATCTTTGCAAGGTATCATTTGCAACTTTCTAGAGCTGTCATGTAAGCATTTTAACAGTAGTACCCCCCCCCACTCCCAGTCCATGTGGCCACCCTGATTCCCATTAAAACCTTGGACACTGTAGCAGCCACCAAGGAACTACAGGGAGCAGGACACAATGTGGGGAGGAAGGGTGGCTATTATCAATGACCACTTAAAGAACTATGGGGATAGGTAAGCAACACATCCTTCTTCATGGTTTCTATGATTCAAACAAATGGACGGCTAGGAAGTGACTCACTATATAGTGGGAGTGTCATACGACACAAGAAACAGCACAGTATAGTAGGTGATGAAGATCAAGGGCTGTGACCATGTAGCCCCTCTACAAATGCACTCTACTGACAGGCTGTTCAGAAAGGCAGATGACGAGGCAACTAGTCTGTTGGAGCGGAGGTGGACATGTATCGGATAATCTTGTTTTGCAACCTCGTAGGATAGGTGAATGGGAAAAGCAACCCATTTTGAGAGGTACTGAGATAAAACTGGCAGATCCCTTGTGTGAGACGAGTAGCAAGTCTCTGAGACTTGTAAAGGGTAGCAGTCCTGGGTTGCTGTGAGTTTTCCAGGATGTATGGCCATGTTCCAGAAGCATTCTCTCTTGACGTTTTGCCCACATCTATGGCAGGCATCCTCAGAGGTTGTGAGGTCCGTTGGAAACTAGGCAAGTGGGGTTTATATATCTGTGGATTAATTCCCAGGGTAGGAGAAAGAACTCTTGTCTGCTTGAGGCAAGTGTGAATGGTGCAACTGGCCACCTTGATTAGCACTGAATAGCCTTGCTTCCTGTCTGAGGGAATCCTTTGTTGGGAGGTGTTAGCTGTCTCTGATTGTTTCTTGTCTGGAATTGCCCTTTTTTTTAGTGTTGCTCTTTATTTGCTGTCCTGATTTTAGTGTTTTTGAATACTGGTAGCCAGATTTTGTTTATTTTCAGGGTTTCCTCCTTTCTGTTGAAATTGTCCACATGCTTGTGAATTTCAATGGCTTCTCTGTGTAGTCTGACATGGTGGTTGTTGGAGTGGTCAAGCATTTCTGTGTTCTCTGTGACTTTTCAGCTTGAATTAGTCTGCAGTGCCAAGTCTGCATAGGGACCACCAAACGCAGCATTGCCCAAACACAAATCAAGGAACATGAAAGGCACTGCAGACTAATTCAACCAAAGAAGTCAGCCATAGCAGAGCACCTGATGAACCAACCTGGACACAGCATATTATATTATTCAGGGACATATCATACGATTTGTGCAGAAAGATAGTCTAAGAAACTGAACCTTTAAAAAGGGACTTTTCCAGTTCTGCTAATGAGTATCCTAAATCCCTGGGGGTTGCCCCTGTTGAATCTTCTCTCCCAGCCTCCCCTTAAACACAGAATCTTACAGGTGGAAGAGGCCACAAGGGCCATCTAGCCCAAATCTCTACCAATACACAGCTAAAGTATCCCTGAAAGACACGCATCCAACCTCTGTATAAAGATCTCAAAGGATGGAGAGTCCATTATCCTCTATGGCAATCTATTCCACTGTCTGCAAGGTTTTAATTGGAGAAGTCCTTCCTAATGCTTAGGCAGAATCTCTTTTCTCGCAATTTGAATCCATTGATTCATGTTCTCTTTTTCCATTGTCATCTTGTAATAGTTTGTGAATTTTTTCTCCATTTCTTGCTGACCTGCTCTTCTCATTGCCAGGTCCGCGCCAGCGCCATTGCACAGGATGCTGACCAGAACTATGACTACGCCAGCAACAGTGTGATCCTCCACCTGGATGTTGGTGATGAAGTCTTCATCAAGCTGGATGGAGGGAAGGTGCATGGAGGCAATACCAACAAGTACAGCACCTTCTCAGGGTTCATTATCTACCCAGATTGAGCCCCCTTCTACCTAGCTCCTTATTTCTGCCCCAATTCCCATTCTGCCTACCCAAAACACCCTTCCCTTCTAGGTCAGCTCTTATTCTCCTTGGCTTTACCGCCTCCCTGGATTGTTGGGGGGTCCCTTCTGCAAGTTCCAGTCTCTAGAGGATGGAACTGAGGAAAAACTCTGGGGAGGTGGCAATTCAGATCCCCTCCCCACATTCTTGGGTTAATAGCAATGCTAGGAGGGTGGGTGGATTAAGGGTTTTATGGTGCATGGGGAAACGGGGAGGGGGTGGACACAGGGTAATCTAATATCATCGTGGGTGGGACCCTGGTCAGTAGAAGCAATGGCCTCAAGCAGAGGCAGAATCTAGATTTGGGATACGCCTCCTTTGAAGGGAAGGGCAATGAATGCAGTATGGAGCCCAAGCACACTGCAAACTGGGTATGGAATTCCATTTCTATGTTATCCCCTTTCCTAAGTATCTCTAACAGGCCAGGATCTGAAGAGGGACAGTTCCATTAGTCCAACCAACCAACCAACCAACCAACCAACCAACCAACCCTTCTGTCAACATTTTCATGAAATAAGTCATTTATTACATGTCATGCATTACATTTTCTTCCAGCAAGTTCGAGGTGGCTTATGCGACCTTTCCCTACAGCTTCATTTTATCCTCACAACAACCCTGCGAGGTAGTTTGTGACAGTGAGGACAGTGACTGGCCCAAGGACATACACTGCATTATGTGGCTGAGAGGGCTGGAGTTGATGTCTGTTGCTTGTTTGAACTTGTGTGTGCACCTCTCTCTCTCTCTCTCTCTCTCTCTCTCATCCAGTCAAACACTCGGTACACTAGCTCAAGGTGTCTCATACACACAGGTTTTTCCCCCCAGAGACCAGATAATCAGTTGTGAAAGGGGGGGGGGGTCAGTAACTATACAGATGATAAATGTATCTTGAAGAAAAAGACATTGTCCTTTTGATTCAATGGGGAAAGTCAGGCCTTTCAGAGTGGGAGGTGGGAAAACAAGATCACAGGAGAGTCAGCTAGAGTGGGCATTGATTTTCCCCACTTCCATCCTGTGCAGGAATTTGTGTATACAACTATAATTGTGTGGGGGGACACAAGCTAGATTCTGGTGAAAGGTTCCACCTTGGAACTTGGAAGGCTATGAAATTAAAACTCTGCTCATTCATACTGGGTTTTCCAAAGTCTGGAGCCTGATGCATTTAACAATGAGAGAGATACTCATCCTTTCTCGTCAATCTCAGACTCCCCACCCGCCCTCTGTATTGAGCCAGTGCCAAATAATTCTTTTGTGTACCAACTGAAGACTGAAAGATTGTTTCCCTCCTACTGTAAATTTCTCCACTGGTTAGATGTCCCTTGTCCACCCGCATGAAGATATATCTATAGGTAATATCCATATGTACCCTAAAATGGGACAAGTGATTGAGGGCAATGTGCCTCTGTATGTAAATATTTCACTGCAATCATTTATTGCATTGAGACAATGAACACTGGTTGCACCGTTCAATGCTGTAGATTCCCATATGGCGAGTAGTGATCTTTCTACAGCAGAAAGATGGAACATACTCAGCCAGATGATAGTGGGAGCCATAGAGTTCCTATACCATTACTGCTGCTGCCCTGCAATTAGCAAAAGCTATTGACAGATGACATAATCTGGTGTGTCCTTGAAAGTCACCACAGCCATTGCAGCATGCACAAAGCTACACCATCAGTGGGATCTACACTTCTAATCCTTGCCTCACAGTATGTGCTCTCTGAATGGCATTTTCCCTAGGAAAAAACAACCAGTACCAAGTATATACCACTATAATCAGATTTTGTTATAGAACACCTACCAGTAAACCTCATCCACACTCCACTATTGCCACTGTGGGCACCAAGCCCATTACTATGCCTACTCTCCCCATGTCCCAAATCTCAGATTGACACTTAGAACATCACAAGCACCTCATTACATACAAGTACAACTTTGGATGTCATCTCAAACAACATCACAGCCATGCAGTCCTGTCAGGGGCAGTTGTACCATAAAGCAAAGTTTCAGGCACAGATTTTTATTTTTTTTTTCATGTCAGGAGTGACTTGAGAAACTGCAAGTCGCTTCTGGTGTGAGAGAATTGGCTAACTGCAAGGATGCTGCCCAGGGGATGCCCGGATGTTTGATGTTTGACCATCCTTCTGTGAGGCTTCTCTCACATCCCTGCATAGGGAGCTTGAGCTTTAAAAGGGAGCTCAACCCACTCTCCCCAGATTTTGAACGTCAGAAGTCCTGGCAGCACAAGGGTTTAACCAATTGCACCACCATGGGTTCCAGATGAAGGATAAGAACTGGTGTCTGACAATTAAATGATGGATCTAAGAGACGGGGACATCATTCAGACATTTTTCAGGCAGCAAACCTTCTTGGTTCAGCATTATGACCCAGACAAAATCTATTAAAATTAATGCCACTACATCTTTTTATCCCAAATCATAAGAAATACTAGGTGCTCATTCATGTGTACACCCAGTTGCACACAAAACTTTCCCTTTTACTTATATCAGGTTCTTCCATTGGCAGCACATGGGGAAGGAAAGTGACAATGCTAAACTACCTTTAAGTTAACTTGGCAAAAGCCTCCCTCTCCATTTCATTTCCACACATTTCTTGACATGCCTTGCTCCTTTTCCAAGGACGTGTCCACTTGCACTTGTAACCAAGCACCTCCCCTGAGAGGTGAACCTCTGCATTTTCACTAGGTATGCCATGTGTGCAGCATATACATGCAAGTGTTTGTGTATGTCAGAACTGTCATGTCAAACTGTTGCTGCTGCTAAGCTGTAATTCTTGCAAGATAATGATGCCCAGAGCATTGCTAAGCATGTGTGCCAGGAGGGATGATCTAGAGTGAGAGAGGGAAGAAACTGAATTCCACCCAGCCAAAGCCAGATTAGAATCCGCCATACAGGAAGATGGATTCACGATTTCCATTTCACATTCCAAAATGCCAACAAATTTTGGCCCAGAAAGGACATGAAGGTATATATGTGTTGGGTAGAGCTCAAAAATACCCATACTCATACAACCACAGCATGCCATTTATGTAGAAGTTTGCCTTTCTGTATTTGAAATTGAGGGTCTGGGTTGAAAGCATGGCAAGGAACAACAGAAGACAAGCTATGAAATGTAGATCATATATTAACTAAATTGCACATGAAAACATTCATAGGGTGGAACACATGCCCAGACATATTTATGTATGGCTGCGTGATTAACCTTTAGAGCATCTAAATCTACAAATACAGTTGTATAACTGAGTCAGTGCAGACATATTAGTGCACAAACATGCTGTGTGCAATGTTTTCCCCAAACATTTATTTCCATGCCCTGTATATCTTCTGCTTGAATATTCCAACCCCCATAATGTTCCCACCTGCCCCTTCCATTCCTCATCCTTTCAGGGATAGGGAAAGAATCCTCTGCTGCTGGTGGCTGCTATATGGAGGACCACACTGCAGCCTTGCTATTTTGCACAGTTCCCCACCCAACCAGTGCGCAATGCATGCCTCTCCTTTCATTAGCAATTTTGAAGTCCATTGAGGATCTGGACAGTGCCTAGTACATACTACAGGTGGAAACCGGCCAGAGAGGCCCCAGGGCATGGCTGTAAAATCAGCATCAGGATGGCTTTCTTGCCAAGAACACGAATGCTGCTGGGACTACTCAATTCTGTGTCTTTAAATTAAGAAAATATGTGTTTTATTGGTTAATAAAGATACTCTGGTTTTTGACTCGTATCTTGTCTTTTGCTGGTGTCAGTTCAATGAACACGGCATTCTCTGAATGCAAATATTGGTATTTACCCAGCAGTAACACATTCATTTGCATGCATACGCACCATATATGAAATCCCAGAAACACCTGCATGCATATAGAAACACAGCCACAGGAGCAAAGTCCCATACAGATGAACGACACACATTTTCTGAACACATATTTGCACATTCCTGCTTTCCCATGCTCAAGAGTCATTTTTTATAAGAGACCTCATCCTCCTGTCTATTTACATTGACACAGAAATTTTGAGCAGACATTGGTCCAACCAAGATCAGAGGGGAAGAAAACCATAGCATTTTGTATGTCAGAGAAGGCAGCTTTTTGATCCTCTCAGCTGTCTTTCTTCTTCAAATCGGTTTTTTGGCTATGTTTTGTAAGAAAGTGATAGTGATATAAAAGTAGTATCATTCAGCCTTTCAAACATTGGCCTTTCAAATGCACATGTATTTCTTATTATCTTCCATTCCACAACACAATTCAAATGTTACAACTTCTTTCATGCTTGCCCTGCTTCAAAACTGGAGGGATCATTATTTGTGTTTTCCCCTGTTAAGTGCAAAGCAAACATAAAAATCTCTGCAAAGACACTGCCAATGAAAGGGGGACCAAAAAAGAGAAAGCTTTGTTGTGTATCAAGGTAACATTCCAGTCCTCTCCATAGGGAGTTGTTTGTGTTTCTTTTAAAATAGAGAAGCCAAAACTGTAATGGCCCCACGAGGGTCTTCCTCCAGGGGCAAACCAAGAATGGGCAACTTGGAAGACCCCAGAGAGATTGAAAAGTGGAGTTGGCAGATCAAAAGACAACCTGGCAAAATGGCACTACCTAGAAGAATCCTCCATCTTGTGCAACTGTGGAGCAGAACAAACAACTCAGCATCTGTATGCTTGCCCACAATGCCCTGCCTCATAGACAGAGGAAGAATTGTTTAAAGCTACAGACAATACAGTTGCTGTTGCTTATTTTTTGGTCTAAAACTGATAAAATCTAAATCTAAAACTGATAAAATAGTTAATCTAAAACTGATAAAATAAAGGGATCACAAGCTGCTAGATCGTTTTAGACCAGTGGTTCTCAACCTGTAGGCCCCAGGCGTTTTGGCCTACTACTCCCAGTCCCAGCCAGTTTACCAGCAGTTAGGATTTCTGGGAGCTGAAGGCCAAAACATCTGGGGACCCATAGGTTGAAAACCACTGGTCTAAAACGATCTAGCAGCTTGTGATCCCTTTATTTTATCAGTTTTAGATTAACTGTTTTATCAGTTTTAGATTAACTATTTTATCAGTTTTAGATTAACTATTTTATCAGTTTTAGATTAACTATTTTATCAGTTTTAGATTAACTATTTTATCAGTTTTAGATTAACTATTTTATGCAATGCTTTTGATACAAAATAAAATAAAGTTCAAGTGGTATATTCCACTCTGTCTCCTCAATTCTGCTGCAAATATAGAACTAACTTTGTTTTGTGTATTTGGAGTGTCCAATAAAAGAGGAGGGAATTAGGGACAATAATCAGCATCACACTCTGGATGGGCAGCCACACAGACGGCTTGAAAACCAACAAAAAATACTACAGTGTAGAGACTGCACCACCAAACATGGGATGCAGTCCCTTAAAACAGTGGGGCTGCAGTGGTGCAGTGGGTTAAACTGTTGAGGTGCTGCACCTGCTGTTTGAATCTGTGGGACAGGGTGAGCTCCCGCTGTTAGCCCCAGCTTCTGACAACCTAGAAGTTGAAAAACATGCAAATATGAGTAGATCAATAGATACCACTTTGGTGGGAAAGTAACAGTGCTCCATGCAGTCATGCCGGCCACATGACCTTGGAGGCATCTATGGACAACATTAGCTCTTCAGCTTAGAAATGGAGATGAGTACTACCCCCCGGAGTCAGAATGACTAGACTTAATAATGTCAAGGAAAAACTTTTACCTTTACTATGCCTTCAAATTGCCCTTCAACTTATGGCAACCTCGTGAATATTTCAGTTATTTTAGGCAAGAATTAAGAGGAGATTTACCCTCCTTTAAAATATAACCTAATAATTAAGGTCAAATACTCATCTATGATTATTATCTATTCCTTAAATTTGTATCCTATCTTAACTTCAAAGTCAGTGCATATGCAACTCTTCTTTTTCAAATCTATCCTCACAACAACCCTGTGGGGTAGCATCGTGTTCAGAGAAGGTAACAGGCTTAAAGTCCTCCAGTGGGTTTCATGCTTCAGTGAGGACAAAC